AGAAATAAATGGCCTTTTTAGAAAGTGAACCAACGATAAGCAAATCTTTGCAGCTTTCTCAAAAACTGCTTGAATTCAAGAAGTTTTAGATTTGCGTGGTTTTCTTTGAGTTGCAAAATCTACTTGCACATGACGCTGCTTTTTTCGAAGTTTCTCAAGAACCATTCGAGCCAGAGAATTCGTTTTGGCATCGATGAATAGAGAATTGAATGGGGGGGTCATAACCCCCCCCTGAATCCGCCCTTGTCTCAACGATCGTGTTTTAGATGTTCTGTATGCGAGGCGCCGACTCGATCCATTGCCGTCCACAGTCAGACCAGCGAAGTTCCTCAATGTCCAAATGGTTGGGAGGAGTTATGGATAGGATGGAGCTTTATCATGGTACAAGAAGCAACTGGAAACTGAGGTCCAGTTAGGTCTAACTAAACCTCCAACATTTCAGAGCACAGACGGAGGCGGTGGAGGATCAACGCAATCTTTGGTATCGCCTGGTTCCTGCTTAGAGGACTTCAGAACCAAACCGTTTATAGAATGCCACGGTCATGGCCGGTGCAACCATTACGCTACTGCCTTATCGTTCTGGTTGGCGACGATCGAGGAATATGCCCAGTTCAAGAAGCCAGTACCGCAGACTTTAAAGTCCGGGTTTTTGACTTCGAAAATTAGTCGGTGCGCTGTGTGTTTAAGAAAAATGTAAGCAGAAAAATCGCAAAAAGCTAATGTTTTCTAAATATTTTTCAACCGTTTCCAGACCAACTAGACCGAGCAACATTATCTCACGAGACGAACTGGCGCGACCTTCTTACAATCAATCGCCTTATCAATTCAGGAACCTTGGATTCCGAGACCGATTTGCAGGTAGAAGACGCAATAGACTTCAATCCACCTACAATGCCAGACAGGGCTGAAATGCTTTAGGAACCTCAATTTAGTACCTTTCCATTAATAAAACTACTTGCTTGTGCGATTTTACTCATTATTAATATCTCCAAGTATTTATTCTTCTGTGTAAACGCAAGCAGTGTATGTAATTATGTAAAAACACTTCTTTGTCACCCAAGTGCCATTGTGTAAAATAAGTAGGTAGATTAGAGTCGTGATAAGTGTTGGGCGCCAGTTGTACAGATTGTCTATATGCAATAATAAATATTTTTTTATATGTTAGATTATGAATCCATGGTGATTTGTTAGCGATTAATAGTAATTTTAAGAACGGTTTCTGTAACAAACGCTTCGATATTGTTCACTGCCATAAAGCTACATTGTCTGTTAAAACCACTGGAATAAACCAAGCAGTTTTTTTTAAATAAATCATCGTTTGATTGGGATTAGGATGAAAGAACCCGATTAATTTCTATCAATTTTTTTAATATATACAATAACTTATTTACAGACATACATCAAGCTGATTATGCAGCCTCCCAAATAAAACTATCAAACCAGAATGAGTGGAGGTAAATAAAGTGTATAAAACATATTAAAATTCAAACATTTTTTTACTACTAGACTGGTCTCCGAGATACCTACATAAAAACACATTCAAAACAAACTGAGCAGAACTTCTCTGCTTTTGGCCAATACACTGAAAAACTGGTTAAAAAACCTTTGACTGATTGCCGGTCTGAACTGGGATAAGTTAGTTGAAATGTAAAAGTATTCAACCAGCTTTCGATGTTACAATAATGGCTCAGTCATCTTAAAGTACGATGGGTTTTTGGTCATTCAAATCCATATCCTGATTGAGCAGATAAATAGATATTGAGCTTCAACAGGACTTTCCTGATTTGACTTTGTCAAGTAAGTAATTAAGAGTGGTTCTCACCAAAGTAAACAGGATCACAACCAAAGGACGTGCATCTTCTGAGTGCCGCAAAATCTACTACTTGGCAAAGCCATTTAGCTCCAGTTTAGTATCTGTGAACTGCATGTGACTGTCAATAATTTGAAACAATTCGGCCGGTTGAGGAATCCGACCGCTCTCCAACTTCGACCAAATTGGCACATCGTTTAATGAGATCTCAAAGGCGCCAGATGCAATCAGTTGACTTTCGATTAGGTTGCAGATGAAAAACAGCATCATGCAAGCATAAATCCTGTTCTCGATGCACCATCGCCACCATGCGGGGGCTGGTCGGTTGATGTAGTCAAACACATTCATTCCCGCAAGAATGCAAACTATTGCAAGCAATTTAACAGTTCCCTGAAAAAACAACGATTGTTGCAGTTGTGCGTTTTTTGTTGGTTTATCTAATGTGCAACTTACAGTGATTCTAACTAGAAACATGTAGAACCCACCGGGTTCATAATTGGCACCTTCCACTTGGATGAATGGGTATTTTTGGTTCAGCAGATTTGTGTATTGGTCAAACATTTTCTTATAGCCACATGAATAACTGAAATAGAAGATTGCCTCTTAGTGAATGTGATAAGTTACTATTGTATGTTTTATCTCTGTACTGTAAAACTGATTGCAATTTCCATGAAATAGTTGATTATCATCAAAGTAGGTATTTACATAAATAATTGATGACAAAGCGTTAATTAGGGACTTTTCTATTGACGGGGAGTAGCCTGATTAAATTGCAAAATACGCCAGTTACGCTGATAAATAGGGCCAATTGCAAGTGATTTTATATATTTGCGATAAGAAGGAATTTACCAGTAAAGGAATTTTAAGGTCGGAGCACCAACAATTTGACTAATTTTCGAAACAGGAACGTCCAAACTTTCATCTGCAGATGCCGTTGCAACACCAACGAATAGCACAGCGAGACACAGCGTCATGAGGCAATTAATGTAGAGCATTTTACTAGTTTTCATCATTTTTTCGTAACTTTTTAAACTAAACTGTGAACTAAACTGCACAAACCCAATTTTCCGGTGACGTTCACCACTGTCATGAACAGGTGACTGACATCACAGATCACAGAGGTTATTTCTATTATCTGTGGATATGAATGATGGATCTTCTGTCTGCGGATACAGACAGCGGGTTTGCCGGTGTATTTAAAAAAGACATGATAGTAGTAAAATGCTTATTTTATATACATATTTGGAGTATTTTCAAGGACAAAACTGTGTGAGTTGATTGTGTATTAAAACGTCTTGAAGTTTAGTTTATGATAAGTTGTCATTTACCAAAATTATTTGTAGAACGCGAGATATAAAATTATTGGCAACGTCGAGAAAGCTTGGGTGCCCCTCAAAGAGAAAATGTTACCCAACCTTTTAACAGTTTGGTAAATGTACTCGGAGAAAACCGCTTATTGCATAGAAATATACCAAAATATTTTAACAAAACAAATTACTTTGAAACTCGCTCTGTATTTTCGAGTTAACCATTTAAAAGCCTTAATATTCACATACCTTATTATCCGATTTTCCATATAGAAGGTGTAGAGATAAAAATCCAAATCATCTTTTTGTGGTCACTTTTATAAAAAAAAACACTTAACTTATATCTTATAGTTGTCACTTGAGTCGTTACGTTAGTGTTTTGTTTCATTGTCGGAAAGACGGGTCTGCGTTCGGTTGGCTCCGTAAAGATTTTCAAAATTAACCGATTTTTTTCGATTTTTATACAAAAAAATGTGAACGTTGTGAAAATAAGTGTTTTCCTTTATCGTTTAGTAGTATTTTCTTCGACGGCAGTGCGATTTATGCGAAATAAACGCGTTTTTCAATTTGCTGACTTTCTGACGTTTTCCTGTCAAATTGTTCGGTTGTAGCGGTGGGATATTCATGAGTGTTTTAGGACTTTCAAGGATCTTTTGGAGTTGTTTGCAGAAGATGCAACAAGAGAGAGACCAACAACAACCGAATATTCTCACTCTGCTTTACGCTCGCAAAACTGCCGAAATAAAGCCAAATGCATCGGTACGTACTTAAAATATATTTCCTCAATCAAACCTAAACTTCTCCAAACCTGCCAAGCAAAAGCTTGCAGGGACCATTTCGCTCCTAGGCTCAGAGCAGCTATTAGTGACAAATAGTTATTCCTATACCTAATCGGGCTATCGGTTTTCCATACTTTCACACAAGAACGCCTTTAGTGTTGAAGGAATGCGTAACTGATTAACATCCTCTTTGAAATTGAGCCGCTCTACGATAGAGGCTCTGCATCGATCCTGCAGGTTGAAAAACTCTCGTTTCCTCTGCAAAAGAACCATTCTCGTCTTGGCTGCAGTTGAACTTATTATGGGGTACAGTGGCTCTTTAACCGAGTTTAATCCTCTGAAAGCCACTCCCAAAGGTTTCCAATTTTTGTAGTAGGAAAGTGTCCCTGTAAAGAAAATATTCTAGAAATTTCCTCTATGTTTGTTCGGCTTCACTTTTACCCGATTTCCCATCGAATAGTACGCCGATTATGGTAGGAACCTCTGGATGAAACCTTCCACAATAACGAGCGCAGATTCCCTTGTGGAAAATTAGACCATGATGAGACAGACCCCAGCTTTGGTCGTCTTGGCCTAGCAGATGCCCGAAAGTATTCTGATGAAGAACGGTGTTTTCAGTTCCTTCTCATCAGGGAAATAATTAGTTGCAGCGAAAAGTTGGGCATTTGCATGGTTTCTAGATTTTTACCTATTCCTATCATAATGCTGGTTCCACGGCTTTCAAGCACTTCAAGCTCCCAGAAGAATCGGCCGTTGTTTAATATTCTGGTTCCTCGCACTCCTGCAGTATTCGTCGAGAAATAACGATGAAACAGGGCCCTGTGGTTGTTCGTTCCGTCCAAAATTACCTATAAACGAAACGAATGTTTGTGCATTGTTTTTATTTAAGTGGGACGGGTGCTTACGTCGTAACTGCGATTATTGCAATCCCAAGTCCAGAAATCGTCGCAAAATAGTCCCGCTTGCTCCCATATCGGTTTGAATTTCTGACCACTCATGCCCACTTTTCCTTTGATTGTTTATCTCCAAAAACTTGCAGTGATTTGAGCCAGAAAAAGCAAAGTGCTATTATTTGTTACTGGCTTTTTATACTCATAGGCTGTAAAAATTCAATGCACGCAGCAGCTATTTAGCTGTTTCTTTTTGATAATTTTGCTAGGTAGTTTTCAGCTTTTTCTAAGCACAGGGTATACAAAATTAAGAATAAATCACAGTAAACTTACCTGCATTTTTGCAACAACAGATTAATTTTCTGTTGCAATCAAAAGACCACCTGCTTCTAAAGCTGCTCGATGCAAGTGCGCAAGGCGTCGCGACGCTCGTAGTATTTTTCTTCCTAACTCCGTATCGATTCAATCTATTAGGGGAAGGGGATCAATTTTTAGGGTGGCTGTCCGTTTGCGAGGGTAAATATTAGCAAGTTTTTCAGCCAGGACAATTTTATTTAAATATAAAACAATGTGCCAAATGGAAATGAAAATGTTCTTAAACGAGTTCTAATTGTTGTTGGGCTCCTTTCCTGTCTGAAAACATAATATGCGACTACAGGGTGATTCAAAATTGGCGCCATTCCTTTATAGGGGTGATGGAGGCTCACTTGGGGAGTACGAGAAAAATATTGTAATTTTTTTTTCGAAAATTTTTAGAGGATTTTAACAGTTGAAGATCGAATTTCAACTTTGCTATTAAGCATTATTTCGGAATTGTTCCATGTTTGATTGGTAGCGTATTGGAATACTTAAGCATTCAAAAAGAAAAGTTACGATCTTTGCTTCAAATTAAGAATATTTTTGATATTCAAAAACTTCTCTCCTACAATATTTTGATGAAAAGTCGAAGCGGCAATGATGTTTTTTGGCATTTACAGATGGTTACAGCAGGGGCGGATCCAGCTTTAAAGTCAAGGGGGG